CGAGCAGGTGGCTGGGGCGCTGGGAGCCCTCACCTGCCAGGCAGGTGGCTGACGGCAGCCGTTCACCACCGCACGCAGGAGCCGGGCTTCTTCGTTGATTGACAGCAAGAGCCACACGCAGGGGGCACCGGCTTGGCCCCGCAGATGTGGGTGGTGACAGTGGCCAGCAGGGGGTGGGGCGCCCGGGCTCCATGAACCCCGCCCGCGACGCTCAGTCACCCGGTAAAGGCACTGACAAGTCCTGCGCAAGAGGGAACCTGTTCCCAAACTTGGTTCCCCACGGAACCCCGCCGCTTGCATCTGTCGGAAGAACACTCCCAGTGTTCCCGGGAGTCCCATTGGGGACCGGGGTTCGAGTTTATTCTTTAGGTCTCTTCACTCCTGCATTTTCTTTTCTTCACAAATCGGGGAGGATACTGCCCACCTCGCAGATCATATCGTGAGGCTGGGGGTCGGTCAGGGGGGGATGCCCTCACTCGTGGTCCCCCCTGCCCCTTGCCAGGCCCCACTCCAGTGCCCAGGTCAGCCAGGGCGGCCTCTCCCCGCTGGGCACCTCGGGGGCTGCGGTCCCGGCTGGCACTGCCTCAGCAGCCCTCCTACCCGATGCTGCCCCATGTCCCATGCAGATGTGCGTGTGTGCATGTCTGTACATGCACATGTGTGTCTGTGCATGCACATGTGCATGTGTGTGCACGTCCGTGCATGCACACATGTGTGTATGTATGCATATGTGCGTGTGTATGTGTGCACATCTGTGCATGCACATGTGCATGTGTGTATGTGTGTGCATGCACATGTGCGTGTGTGCATGTGTGCACGTCTGTGCGTGCACATCTGTGCGTGCGTGCATGTGTGCATGCCTGTCCACGCACATGTGCGTGTGCACGCACATGTGCGTGCGTGTATGTATGTATGTGCATGCACATGTGCATGCGTGTGCATGTCTGTGTATGTATGTGCATGCACGTGCACACACACATATGTGTGCACGCACATGCCCTGGCCTGGAGTCCCTCTCTCTCCCCTCCTCCCTCACTAAGGGGCCATCCATGTGGGTCCTCCTTGCATCCTCCTAGACACCCCAGTCCCCTTTCCACCTCACCCTTAGGGTCCCAGGGGAGCCACTCTGCTCTGCAGCCCTTGTAGGGGGAGCTCACCCTGACCCCAGCCAGGCACCCCAAGAGCGTCTTCCGACCTCTCACCCCTTCCACAGCCTGCTCCTCGCTGCGGCCCCTCCCGGCTTGGCCGTACTGCCCGCCCGGTGCCTGGCACAGTGGGGCCGCAGGCACAGCGTGTCCCAAAGGCCTGCTCGCCGGCTGTGCCCGCCTGCCCCCCAACCCCCACCTGATATGACCGCACAGGGGGGCTGTGCCCACTCATGACCCTCTCCCCCCGCTAGGAGCTGAGTGCCTGCTCTACCCGCCACCCGCCCGGGCTGAGCCGGGCCGACACCTTACATTCATGCAGCAGGAGGAGGTGAGGAGGGGCTGCAATGTGAGAACGGGGAAGCCCGGGCAAAACCCAGCTCAGCCCTGCCCGGCCGGCCGGCGTGACTCAGTGGCTGAGCATCGACCGATGAACCAGGAGGTCACAGTTCGACTCCTGGTCAGGGCACAGGCCCGGGTTGTGGGCTCCATCCCCAGTAAGAGGCGTGCGGGAGGCAGCTGCTCGGTGATTCTCTCTCATCATGGATGTCTTTATCTCAGTCCCCCTCTCCCTTCCTCTCTGAAATCAATAAAAACATATATACTTATTTTATTTATTTATTTTAAATCTTCCCCCGAGGATATTTTCCTATTGATTTTGAGAGAGCGAGGAAGGGAGAGGGAGAGACAGAGAGAAACATCGATGTGAGAGAGACACATCGATGGGTTGCCTCCTGCACGCGCCCCGACCAGGGCCCGGGCCGGGGAGGAGCCTGCAACCCAGGTACGTGTCCTTGACCGGAATTGAACCCGGGACCCTTTGGTCCGCAGGCCGACGCACTGGCCACTGAGCCGCACTGGCCAGGGCAAAGCATGTGTGTGTGTGTGTGTGTGTGTGTGTGTGTGTGTGTGTGTATTTTAAAAGCCCCAGCCCTCAGGGTCAGCCTTGGAGGAGGCCTGACCCACAGCCTGGGGGCCTGCTGAGTGGTCCCATGTTAGTGCGTAGGAACGACTCCAGACCCCAGATGTCACACCCGGCTGGTCCCACACCCACCTCTGCCCATCTGTCACCCCGCTCACCGCCCGCCGCTCCCCTCCCTCCAGCCGCCTCTCTGGACGTTTGCCGAACGAACCCGCCTGGACACATCGGCCCTTCCGCTTCCGTGTGTCGAAGCAAGAGATGCCATTCACGCGCGCTTCTAAAATTAATTCCGAACAGCTTTTATTTTCAGGTCTGGGTCGGATTCCCCAATTTGGAAAACATAAAAACTCCACGCGGAAGTACCTTGTTGAAAACAATGATCTCTTCAGGGGAAAGGCTGGCTCTGCATTCGCTTTGCCAGATTAGAGAGATTGGGTTTTTTTAACATAAAAACTCCACGCGGAAGTACCTTGTTGAAAACATTGATCTCACTCTTCAGGGGAAAGGCTGGCTCTGCATTTGCTTTGCCGGGTTAGTGAGATTGGTTTTTTTAATAAAAAAATATTTTTATTGATTTTAGAGAGGAAGAGAGAGGAAGGGAGAGAGAAACATCAATAATGAGAGAGAATCACGGATCAGCTGCCTCCTGCACGCCCCCCACTGGGGATGGAGCCTGCAACCCGGGCATGTGCCCTGATCGGGAATCGAACCCGTGACCACCTGGTTCACAGGTCGACGCTCAACCGCTGAGCCCCGCCGCCTGGGCCAGATCGAGTCTTGACCGTGGGTGAATGGCTGAGGTTAGCAGTCGGCCTGGGTGTCCATCCATCCGAAGGACCTGGAACCGGGAGGCCGGGTTCCAGCTCTGACTCTCGGGGTCTGGACTCAGGAGACCCTTCATCCGTTGAGAGATGAGCTCTGTCTATCTGAGCCCCGTATGCCAAACGAGGGGCCCGTCACCCTACGCCCCCCAGCAACTGCAGGGTGGCCGTGGTGCCGCCCAGACATGCTCATCAACACAAGGGTGCCACCTGCAAAGGTGCTTGTCTGGGTGGCGGCTGGACAGGAAGGCACGGACACGCACCCGGAGCTCTCGCGGGATGAGAACTGGACGCTCCCGCCGCTGCCCACGAAGCTCAGGGTGCGGCTCAGTTGTCACTGCAGCAGAACCCAGCCCCGTCCTGACTAATACACCTAAGTCCGGATGGGAGGGGACAGCAGCCTGGGCTAGAGCGGTGGAGGGAGAGGGAGACGGACGTGGGTGCGTCTGAGAGAGACTTAGGAGGTGGGACGAACAGGCCGGTGGCTGTGTGGCCACCAGGGAGGAAGCAGGCTCCCCTGGCAACCCCCTTTCTTCTTGTAGGGGCACCTCGCTCAGACTTTTCCAGAAACCCACGGGTTCTTTATGTTAAGACTAGAGGCCCAGTGCACGAAATTCATACACGGGTAGGGTCCTAGCAACTACTGGCTGCCAGCCAGGGCCTCCCTTCCCCCAGCTGCCTGCCGCTGCTGGCCCAAGGGTGGGGGGGTCAGCCAGGGGGAGGGGCCGTGGGCGGTTGGCTGGCTGGCCCCGCCCCCTGACCGAACCCCGGTTGAGGGGACAATTTGCATATTAGGCTTTTATTATATAGGATGTACCATTCTAGCCTGGCTGGCGTGGCTCAGTGGTTGAGCGTCAACCCATGAACCAGGAGGTCACAGTTCGATTCCCGGTCAGGGCACATGCCCGGGTTGCAGGCTTGATCCCCAGTGTGGGGCGTGGCCCTCCCGGAGGAGTCTGGGCGTTGGCAGCGTTCTGGGCTCCTGCCCAGTCCACGGGGACAGCTCCTACATCAACACCGGGGGCCGAGCTCTGTTCTTGGCTGCTTGCACGCGGGCCCCGGCTCCAGGCTCCCACGGAGTCCGGGCATCGGGACCGTGGGCTGCGGACGCCTCGGTGAGTGTTCCCTAAAACTCGTGGGACCCCGGCAGACACAGGAGCCACCTGGCAGAAGTCTCGGTGACGCGTTTTCACGGCGGTTAATTGTGTTTCTCTCCCCCCGCCCCTCTATGTATCTTGGCAGAGAATGATAAACTCAAACCGCCCCACCCCCACACCAGCCCATATCTTTATGTGGCTGGTGGGCCAAAAGCTCAGGTGTTGGCCCTGGCCGGTGTGGCTCAGTGGATAATAGAGTGTGAGCTTGCTGACTGAAGCTCTCTGAAATCAGTAAAAATATATTTAAAACACACACAATGTGCCATCCTATCTTTATGTCCAGGGTCAGGGCTCAGTGTTGACGTGCCAGAGGCCCAGGTGAGCCGCTGCGTCCCTGAGGAGGACCCGGTCGTAAGGTGGAAGCTGCCTGTGTGTCAGCTGCAGTTTATGGAGAAGACCTACTGTGGGTGTTGTGCTAGGACTTGGCACACAGCACCCAGGTTACTACTCGGGACAGGGCTGCCAGGCGGGCTCTCTTACGGCCTCCATCTCGCCGATGGGGAAACTGAGGCCCAGAGAACTCTGCAGGAGGCGGCAGAAGCAGGACCCCGAGCCAGTGTGTGTGGCTGGAGACCCGTGGTCAGAGGCGGAGTCACGTAGCTGCTCAGGGATGGGCGGGGAGCAGAGGCTGTGCCATGGAGGGGCTGCAGGGCCGGAGGCAGCCGATCCATGATTCTCTCTCATCATGGATGTTTCTCTCTCTCTCTCTCTCTCTCTCTCTCTCTCTCCCTTCCTCTCTGGAATCAATACAAATATATTCAAAACAAAACAACAGAAGCTCGGGTTTTGGAGTCAGGCAGCCTGGGTTCAGGTGCAGGCTCTGTAACTGTGAACAGGGGACTTGAACATCTCTGGGCCTCAGTTTTGTCATCTCAAAAATGGGTCAACAGTAATAACCCCCCCCCTCCCCAGGGCTGTTGGGATGACTAAGGCAGGTGCCACGTGTCAAACATGCTCTCTGGCGCCGGGCACACAGTAGGTGCTCAATAAATTGTGTTTCCTGAGACCAGGTATGTTTGGTCTGGTTTTTGAAGCGCTCTGCAAACAAGACATACACCCATCTAAGCCCGCACTCACGCCCCATCGAGGCTGAAGGGCACGTACCAGTGAGTTTGGGCACAGGTGACTTTTTTTAAAATTATTTTTTAAAAATTATTATTTTTAAGATATATTTATTGATTTTAGAGAGGAAGGGAGAGGGAGAGGGAGCTAGAAACACCAATGATGAGAGAGAATCATGGATCAGCTGCCTCCTGCACGCCTCCCATTGGGGATCGAGCCGGCAACCCGGGCATGTGCCCTTGACAGGAATCGAACCCGGGACCCTTGAGTCTGCAGACCCAGGCTCTATTCGCTGAGCCACACCTGCCAGGGCCGGAGGTGGCTTTTTAAAGCTAATAAACAAGAATGTGTGTGAGGACCCCTTGTCCAGGCTGCAGGCAGAAGCGGGATGCTCTGATTGACAGGCTCGGCCCGCAGCACGTGCCCTGCACGTGCCTCCGCTGTGAGTCTGCTCACGTGACCGGCGAGAGGGGTGAGGCTTTCCTGCCCTCACGCAGCCCAACTCTGATCTCGCGGGACCTTGAGACCTCGCGAGACGTGGCTGGTTGCCGCACCTGGTCCGGCTTCGCGCGCCTCGCCGCCGCCTCCACCACCAATGCTGTGGGAATAGCGGGCGCCTGTGACCAGGGTCCCACCCGCTCCCTTAGGGCGCGTCCTGCCCGGACACAGCCCCTGAGGGTCTGCTCGGAGCCCCTCACACAGAGCGGCCCTGCGCCCCCTCAGGCCTCGGTCCCTCACGGACCCTGAGTTGCCTCAGTCGAGGCCCGCGTGCCAGCTCGTGCGTGGATGGCCTGCATCCGCGTGAGGACCCTCCACTGGTGAGTGAGCGCAGGGAGGAAGGTACCTGGAGTGTCCCGTGCGTGGAGGGGAGCAGCAGGGAGGCGGCTTGAGGATAAGGCCTGCTGAGCGGGTACTAGGTCCCTCAGGGCTGGGGGCGGGGCCATGCGGGTGGGGTGTGGCCTAGGCGGAATGTG